AAGGAAGCAAAGAAACACCTCTTCTAAGATTGGAGACGATCTGGACCCTGAGCACCTGGCCCAGGCCCGGGCACGGAGCAAAGCCCGCTCCCTTCCTGGGAGAAAGGCTTCCCTCCTCTGAAGTCCAGGACCACGCAAGTTTGCAAGGGCCTGAGGGCTGACCTTGAGAGGGAGGGGGCACTTCAGAGGGTTTCCACACCCTGTCCTTTCCGCAAACAATGCCTTCCTTGCCTGATGGCCATGAAGTAAAGTGGGCGGAAACCAAGCTGCTTGGGGCAAAGTGGTGCAGTGGGTGTCTGTGGAGGGCGCCTGGGAGAGGGCACCGGAGTGCGCTTTCCCCTGTAGCTCTGGGTCGGTTGGGTCGCCGCTTGCTTCCCCTTGAGCCTGGGCTCCAGCTCCAGCTGACTGTTGGCTCCGAGGCCGTCTCCATCCCCGCAGGCCTGAGTCAGCTGCCCATGTGTGTGTGGGCAAGGTATCCTCTTCTGTCTGAGTGGCCCACCTTGCCAGACAGGGTGTCCCCACAGCCTGTGGAGGACAGAGCAGAGGACTCCAGTCCAGAGGCTGCTTACGGGTCCTGCCTACCAGGTCCCAGCCTGGGCCTCGAAGGGACCTGTGGTGATAGAGCGGCAGCAGTCACAGATGCACAGGGGGCCCCGGAGCCTCCTGTGAACGTGGGGGACCACACACATCCGCGGCAGAGACCATCCCGATTCCCAGTCCAGCTCTGCTCCATCTCGGCTGAGGGGAGCCCCGTCTGGTTCTGACCTGGGACATGGGGATGGTGTGTGGAGCTGGCTCCCAGCGGGCAGGGGCTGGGTGGCGGGGTGCCTCCTACTCTCCGCAGTAACAGGACCTAGCCAGCAGAGGGCGACAGCCCCTGCCTCCTCCCAAGGCAGGCAGCTGGGCTGGGCAGGGCTGGGCTGGCTAAGGGGGAAGCTCTAGGATGGCTCTGGAGCCAGCTGGGCATCCCGTAGTTGCCCTGGAAGGCCTGTCCTGCCTAACCACCCCGCAGACCGGTCCCCTCCAGTGGCCACAGAGCTCAGGCTGAGCCCTCCAGGAGCTGGGGCAACCTGCCCCCCCATCCCACCTGCACTGCCAGCCCCAAACCCTAGTCCCTGTCTGAGGACCCTGGGGCTGAAGGCAGGACCTAGGGAACAGGTGATCGTCTGGGGCCTGGGCCCAGCAGGTCCCTGAAGCTACAGGGGAGCACTGAGGGTGCCGTGAGCTGACTGGGGGTCCAGGGGACGCGACATGCTGCCATGGGGGCAGGGGGCAGAGGTCACAGGTCAAGGGGACAGAGGCTCTGGGCAGCCCAGCCTTCCATTTTCCTCTCTGTCCTTTTCCAGCTGTGTACCCTCAGAGGAAGAAGCCCCTCACCCTCTCTGTGCTGCCTGTAGCTTCACCTGTGGGCAGGTGCAGGGGGGGCGGGGCTGGGCCACCCGGAGAGGTGAGGGGCACCCTTGGTGGGGGGGTCGGGGCCGAGCGATTGCCTGGAGGTGCCCACGTGATCAGGAGACAGGGCCGCGTGATTGGCTGGAGTTGTGGGCGTCATCAGAGGCGGGTCACGAGGACAGGTGGAGGTGAGTTCCTGATAAGGGGTGAGGCCATATATATATGTCCGGAGGTGTGTACGTCATCAGGGGGCGGAGCCCTACATTGGCGGAGGCGCATACGTGAGTATGGTGTGGGCTTCTGTGAGGGTCGAAGTGGAGTCAGGTGAGGATGGCGGGAGCAAAGGAGGAAAACAGCAATTCCCAAGAAAATGAAATATAGAATTACTATGTGGTCTGGCCATTCCATTTCTGGGTGCATACACTGTGGACGAAAGGGGCCACGTGCTGGAAGCCGATCATTGTTTTAATAATAGAGAGCTGTGGACAGGGACTTCGGAGGGCTGGTCAACCTTAATTGCTCTAACGGGGTCAGAGCTAATTACGAGATATTGTTAGTTGAAGCAGCCCCCACTTATTAGTCCTAAATTCACTGATTGGCTTTTATTGGAGTTTCCTGCCTAGGGGATATGGGTGTATCCTATAATTTTAATCTTTATAAAAGGGATGGAAAAGCCAGAGCGAGTTGTAGTCCTCCCACTAGAGTTGGACTGCCCCCTGGCCCCCATTTCCCAAATTAATGCTTTTCTAGTCTCTTTTCATTTGTGTGCGGCCTTCCCCAGAACACAAACCCTGAACTGGAACCCTGAATCACGTTGGACGTGAAAGGGGTTCCCATAGCCATGTGCTAACCTGACAAGCTCAGGGAAGGCCTGCATGGCAGTCTTGCAAACTCAGACCTAAAATTACCATAAAGGATGCTCTGAAATGAAACTTTAACTGAAAGCAGTTATGGTGGGTAGTTACTTCCTAGACTGGTATCTTCACTGACAAGGTCAACATTTACCCTTAACTGAGCCTATCTGTCTTTTTGCATCTGTTAAAAAAAAAAAAAAAAAAAAAAAAAAAGCCAAAACCGGTTTGGCTCAGTGGATAGAGCGTCAGCCTGCGGACTGAAAGGTCCCAGGTTCGATTTTGGTCAAGGGCATGTACCTTGGTTGCGGGCACATCCCTGGCAGGGGATGTGCAGGAGGCAGCTGGTCGATGTTTCTCTCTCATCGATGTTTCTAGCTCTCTATCCCTCTCTCTTCCTCTCTGTAAAAAATCAATAAAACATATTAAAAAAAAAAAAAACAAACACATTGAAAACTGTAAAGAGTTTTGGTGAGTTTATTTGAGCCAAACTGTCAACATATACCAGGAAGCAGAACCTCAACTGACTGAGATAATGCTCCGGAGAATGCAGGGTTACATCTATATTTATACATTGCAATCAAAGGAAAGGGACGTAGGTGAGTTACATGAAATTCATTGGTGGTAGATTAGGGAGGTGGGACAGAACAAAGTGGGGAAACCTCTGGGATAGGGTAAAAGGATGGACAGGTGCTTATTTCACAGAGGTGGATACAGGATACTTTAACGTAATCAACAGTTGACAATTAACTTGATAACAATAACAATGAGGGAATGTCTCCAGGCCATTTGTTGTGCCCCCAGGGGTCCGGGATAAAAAGGAAGTTACAAGTTACCCAGACATCTCACAGATATGTTATCTTCTTAGAGGCTAACAGGCAAATGGGCTCAGTAAAGAAGATCTAAGTTGATCTTTGTCAGGTGAAATATCAATCTAGGACATGACTACCCACTATAACCTCTTTGTAGTTAGATATTTAATTTTCAAACCATCTTTTTGTGGTTATTTTAGATCTCTGGGTTTGCAAGACTGCCACGCAGGCCTCCCTTGAGCTTGTCAGGTTAGCACGTGGCTCTTTTCGTTCACACATCTATAATAACATATCCTTTGAAACGTCTGGGTAACATGTAACTTCCCTTTTTCTGGACCCCTTGGGGCATTAACCTAAAGTGCTGGCGCTTGGACAGATACCACAAATTCCTTCATTATCATGTTAATTGTTCCTGTGGTGTCTATCTTTTTACGTACTTTGTGTTCAGCTCCAGGGGTTTCCCTGCTTTGCTTTCTCCCGCCTCTCTGGCCTGTCACCAATGGATTTCATGTAACTCACCTACACCCCTTTCCTTTGATTGCAATGTATAAATACAGATGCAACCCGCAATTCTCCGAAGCATTATCTCAATTCCTTGAGGTTCTGCTTCTCTGAGAATGTCGACAGTTTGGCTCAAATAAACTCACCAAAATTCTTTACAGGTTTCAATGGTGTTTTTTTTTTTTTTTTTTTACGATAACAACACAAAACAACTGAAAGCAGAGATTCAAACATATCAGAACACCCATGCTCATAGCAGCATTATTCATATTAGCTAAAAGGTGAAAGCAGATGTGGGATAAACAAAATGTGGAATATCATTCCAACTTAAAAAGAAAGGATATTCTGACACATGTTACAACATGGGTGGAACTGGAGGACATTATGCCAAGGGAAATAAGCCAGTCACAAAAGGACAAATACTGTATGATTTCACTTATATGAGGGGATCTGACAGTAAGTAGCATGATGGTGTTAGGAACTGGGGGAGAGAGGAATGAGGAGTTAGTGTTGAATGAGGAGTCAGTTTGGGAGGATGAAAAAGTTCTGGAGATGGATGATGGTCATGGCTGGACAACAATGTGAACGCACATAATGCCACAGAACCATACGCTTAAAATGAAAACATTTATGGCATATATATTTAATCACAATTAGTCAAGTAAAGTAGGGCCATGAATGATAATGTGGATTATGATTCTTTGGCCTGTGACAGGATTGAGCTCAGTTGTTAAAAAGTTAGTCTCTCTCTCAGGGTCAAGAGAATTTATCTTTGCGTCCCTACTGCCTAACGAAGGAAAGGAGAGACGATAAACCGGTGAGATTTTGGAAACAGAGGTTTATGTCTGTTATGCACACACAGTAACGGGCTTCTTGCATGCCTAAGGATCTCCTAGGTAGATATCAGAAACTTAAGGCACAGACTTTCAATAAGGTGTGACTTCGTGGCTATTGAATACACAGAGGAATTCACCAGTCCTCCCATTTCTGTTCTTCCTCGCTTTTAGATCCTCAACCACGTCCTGGGAGACTTCCCTCAGGGGAAAAATGGGACGGACAGAAGCGAAGCGGTAAAGGAAGCTGCCCCGGGGGGATCACCGCGGACCGCACCACCGGCGCGATTGGATGGGCTTTCTCCAAACAGAACTGTGACTTTCTTGGGTCGGAGGTGGGTGTGGGGTGCGGGAACTGCCCGGGGGAGAGAGGAACTCGCTGTTGGCCGGAGCTGCGCGCAGGACCGCCGGCTCGCGAGCAGAGGGCGCCCGGGCCGCACTAGCGGGTCCGCCGCCCCGGGTGGAGGTCCCTGGAGCGCCGCCCCCGGACGTCACTGGGGCGGGGCCTGGGACTGGGCGGGGCCTGGAGGCGCGCCCGGGCGAAGTGTGTCGCCTCGGGCCCCACGAGGCGGAAGCCCGCGCGGGGGGCGGGGCCGGGGGCGGGGCGGCCGCCCTGAGTCACATTGGGTGACCCGCCCGCCGCTTCCAGGGGCGGAGGTGACAGCGGCCCCGGACGGGCGGCCGCACTAGCCGGCGGCACCGAGGGATCGCGGAGCGGCGGGGAGCAGGTCAGAGGCCGGGCGGGGCGGGGCGGGAAGCCCTGGTCCTTGTCTGGGGACCGCGGGCACCGGGCACCCGCGCGGCCCGGCCTGCGCCGCCCCTTCCCCGCGGCGCCCGTGGGCGGCGGGGCTCCGGGCCCTCCTGGGAGGTCCCGGGGAGCCGGCGGGGCCGGGGGGGGGGCCTGTAGTCAGGGGGATGCGGACGTGGGCTTTCCAAAGGGTGTTCGGCGAGCCCGGGGCTCCTCTCCCCACACCGCCCTGCCACTCCGGAGGCGGAATTTGAAAGCTGGGGAAGAATCCAGCCCTCGCCCAGCCTCCTTATTCCACAGATGGAGGAGGCATCCTCCTGGCATGCCCGCAGTCACAGCCAGTCCATCTAGGAGTGAATGCATCTGGGTCAGGGAGGCCGGGAGGACTGATTTCTAACGCAAGAGTGAGACCTGTTGGGCTAGAGACGCTGGTTCGATCATGAAGGAGGGTTTGCAGTTACTGTCGCACACCTGCGTTCCTGCCGCAGGTTCTGAGGTCCACCTGGCTTCAGTTTTCTCCGAGCAGGTAACCCTGAGAAGGGTGAGGACAGTTGAAGGCACAGATGTTGGGGTTGCCAACAGGCTAGGTCTGCTGCACACGGGGCGCTGTGGAGAGCACTTGGGGTACAGGATTAAATGTTAAACACCAAGAAAGACCCACTCCACTTTAAAAGCCATCTCGTGATCGCTGATACGCAATAACGTAGGATACATTAGTCTGTAATGCTGGCCACCTGTCTCTCGGGGTCTGTTTAACAGCAAGAAGGGCCTTGTGTACTGAAACCTTTCTTTTCATGATGGTAAATGGCAAGCCACTGGGTAGCGCTGATACATAGAGCTGGAGCATGCTTCAGCTTTAAGTGTTATTGTCGCGGAGTTACAGGGGGAGAGTCGGACTGATTAATCCATAACTGTATTTTGCAAGACTGAAGTACCTGTCAGGATAGACATGATTTCTCTGAGTTAGCGCAGTATTGGTTACTCTCAACATCCATAGACTCCATGTGGTAGGCAAGTTAATCTCCTAGTACCCACTTTTCTCGAAATTATTGAATTAAAGGATCTCTAAGCCCCCCCTCCATCTCTAAAGTTCCCTGATTTTATGTGTTAATTTGAAACCTGTCTTTCATTGTGACAACAAAAAGTTTCAAGGAAACACGATGCACAGCGAATCTTCAAGTTCATTATTTTTTCTCAGCCCTCCGGGCTCCTGCGGGGCCAGGGCTTTGTCTGACTTTGCCAGTGACTTTATCATTTGGGCTGACCTAAGCGAAAAGTGATTTTTCCCATCACAGACCCCGCAGTGTTAAATTGGCTTACACTCGGAGGCGAGGCCGGAGTGCTCTGCGTACGGTAAGGAACAGCTGAGGTCGGACCCGCATGGGGCCCGCCGTGCGCAGATAGCTTCTGCAATAGGATGAGAACGTTCTGCCTCAGAACATGTGATAAGACGCCTTTCCCACAATGTCCAGATTATGTGTGTTTTCAGCTGAGATGCAACAATGATCTTTGTAGACAGTCTGTCCAGATATGTACACGTTACTGATTCTGCCTCGCAGCTCCGAAGCGCAGCCTTCCCTGCCTCCTGTTGCTTCTCTTCTGGCTCCTTTCTTCTGAGGGGACATCCCCTCTCACCTGCAGAGTCCCTTGTCCCATGCCTGTCACCCACACGGCAGTGTTCACAGCCCCTTCCAGCACTGATTGAGTTACATTACGTTTTCTCCTCTCAGAGGATGGGAGTCATTCTTGAGTCACCGCTTAAGATGCCCTAAAAGCAAACGTTGGTTATTCCTTTTTAGAACAGAGTGCAAGGCACAGGAGGCTGGGTTCAGGTAGGCAGTGTTTAGATTTTTATCTTCCCGCTGCCAGTAACAGCTCCTTATTTCTGCCTCAGGGAAATCCTTTCTGCAGAATGAGCAGTGAATCTTCAGACTCCTTATTGCTCTCAACCTTGCCAGGCACTTTATTCATTTTGGGGCTAAAATAATCGAAAAGTGATTTTTTAAAAATTACAGGTGCTTCCGTGTTAAATTTTTTAAGGAAACTTTTAAAAAATGATAAACACAATTAAAACAGAATGCAAACAGAGGCTTACATACCTATTGTCAAGTACAAGACTTGACTTATTTTTTAGGTTTATTATTCTGTCATTTCCTGAAGTCATTTACTGACACCATGGCATTATTACAAATTATCTGCTCTGACGTTTTCAAGTGTGCTTGGTCTTCAGCTAAGGCATCCTTAAAATTCATTCAGAATACTTTAAAAAAGTTTCTCATCAATTAGTATTAATTTTTTTTATTATTATTCTTAGCTCAGGAAGACATTTGAAGAGACTAATTTTCAAGATTGGATAACTTAGTCTTCCTGTTGAGCAGTTAATTATGAGGTAATTAACTCTTTCCCCTGGAAAGGTAAAAAGGCCTAAAATTGCAGCCATAAAATCAGATTATACAACAGCTCTCTCATGAAAGAGCCAGTGAATAAACCAAGGTCTTAACTTTTGGTTGTATGCTTCATCCTCGCTGCTATAAAAGTCAGCTACAGGAGGAGGTGAAATAGACACAGGGTAATGAAAATGTATTATTTCACTTTTAGATCTGTAGGGTTTTCTAACAGGAAGGATATGACCAAGAACCCAGGCAGCTCAGGGGAGCATACAGGGCATTGTGCCAGGAAGCTCGAAGGCATGGGCTTTGCTACTAATTTGTTCATTCATTCACCACATAGTCACCGAGCACCTGCATGTATGTGCCAGGCCGCGTTCTAGGTGCTAGGGATGCAGCTGTGAATGAGACAGACAAAGCCCTGCCCTCATGCAATACATTCCAGTGGAGAGGAGGCAGACAGTAAACAACTATGTGAACAGATAGGTCACATAATTACAAGTGTAATTGAGGACTCTAAAAGGTCTAAGTGCAAAAGGGTGTGTGTGTGTGTGTGTGTGTGTGTGTGGCCACAGGGGGCAGGGTTACTTTTTATACAAAGAGGTTAGAGAGGGCCTCTACAAGATCATTTTTTAAAATATATATATTTTATTGATTTTTTACAGATAGGAAGGGAGAGAGAGAGAGAGAGAGAGCTAGAAATGTCGATGAGAGAGAAACATCGACCAGCTGCCTCTTGCACACCTCCTACTGGGGATGTGCCCGAAACCAAGGTATACATGCCCTTGACTGGAATCGAACCCGGGACCTTTCAATCCGCAGACCGACGCTCTACCACTGAGCCAAACCGGTTTCGGCTACAAGATCATTTTTGATCTATGACTTGAAGGTAAACCAGGGAGAGAGCAGGGGGCAGAGGGATGAGCACGTTCCAAGCTCCGGATGCAGGCTCCTGTTTGGCTTGTGGGAGCCACTGTGAGGTTATGGGGGCCAGGCAGGGTCAGTGTGGGTGAGGAGTTAAGTGCCAGCAGAGGAAAGGCTGTGGGAGTGGGAAGGGGCGCGTCATTGGAGGCCATTGCAGGACTTGGGCTTTTCTCTGAGTGAGGGGGAAGCAAGCCCATAAGAGGGTTTTGAACACAGGCACTCAGGATGACTTCAGTTTTCACAGGATCACTCCAGCTGCTGGGCAAGAACAGACAGAAGGGGGTCAAGGGACTACCCTTTTATACTAGCGGTGTGACCCTAAACCAGGCTCCGTTCTCATGATTCTTAGCAGTGTGGGGCATTGCCATGAGGAGCCAGAGGGTTGTATGCGAAGAGGCTCTAGAATTGAAGAGCTTCAGGTGACCTGAAAACGTGACGCTGCTGACACACCTGTAGCTGAATCACTGCAAATGGAGAGGTAATCAGGTCTTTCCAGTCAGGCTGTCAGGTCAGAGAACAAAAAGCGCTCTTTCCCGAATATTCTCTGCTGATCCCTTTAGTGCCCTGCTGATCCCTGAATTTTCCCTTCCTGCTTGAAAAAGGATGAAAAGCTGTTACTCATCAACAGAGCTGGCAACCGGAGTAGCTTTTGTTGTTGGGAAAGTTGGAAACTTTTTGGGGGAAGGAAACAATTCTAATTTTCTGTTTATCATAGGTCATTCGAATCGTTGTTTAACATGCGAAGAGCCCAGAAGATTTCTTTTGGTTTTAATTCATCTTAACCTCTTCCCATTCCCCTTGTGCTTCATGGGTGCTTATTCTAATGAATTTAACGTGGGGATTTTTTTTTTTGTCTGGATAGGATCCTGCAAAGTGGGGATATTTTCTAAATGTGTATCTTACTTTCTGAGGCTCTGTTTTATGTTGCCTTTTTTTTTTTTCCTTCTTTAAGACTGTTTGTAAGATCCACCCATGTTTGTATGGGTACATCTAATTCTTTGTTTCTGAATGCTCCCTGCTGTGTGCACACAATAACTTTACTTATCTGCTCTCTGAGTGATAGACACTCAGATTGTCCCTGCTCTCCAGCATCCTCATAACGCTGTGTAATTTGTCTGTGGGATGTATACTTAGAAGGGAGGCGCTGGATTATAGGTTGGCATGTACCGAATTGGGTAAATAGTGCCAGGTTCCTCTCCACAGGCATTTCACCAGTCTTTCTCCCGCCAGAGGAGTCCGAGGTCTCCTCCTCGTCACGTCCCACCAACACTCAGCTCCATCCGGCTCTGTACCTTGTCTGATCTCATAGGTGCAAAGTGCTAGCTTGTCCTTCCGAGTTGTACTTTTTTCATTACTAATGATGTTAAGGATCTCGTATGCATTTAGACATAGCCGCTGCTTATATCTTCGCTCATTTTCTATTGGAGTTGCTGTCTGTGTTGTTGCCTTAGACTTGTAGAAGTGATTTTATAATATAGATAATCACTCTGTCACATATAGACTTTGCAGATACCTTCTCACTGGTTGCCTATTAATTTTGCCTTTGTTATCCTTTGATCAAGAAACATTTCTTAATTTTGATATCATCGTATAAATAAATTCTTTGTTTTATGTTTCTCGACTTTTGTTTAAGAAGCCCCGCCCAACCCCTAGGTCACAGCTATATCTT